GAGAGGGCAGAATAGAAATAAAATTTTATTACATTATTATTAATAATAATAATAATAATAATAATAATAATAATAATAATTTTATGACAATGTTACTTACCTAAAGTCATCAGTAGGCTTGTATGGCTCATTGGGGATTCAAACCCTAGAATTTGTCTTCACCAGGGGTCCCCGAACTAAAGTCCTGTGGCCCTCCAAGGTCATTTACCTGCCCCCCACCCTAAACTTTAGACTTAATTTTGCCCTAAGTCTGAAACGACATGAAGGCACACAACAGCAATCCCAATTAACTTGACTATCTCAACAGACAAAAGCAGGCCCACACTTCCCATTGAAATATTGTTTACGTCAATTAACATTGTTCTTCATTTTAAATATTGTATTATTATTTCACATACATTAATAACATATGTGCCATGTGAATAGGAATTCATTCATTTTTTTTAAAACTATAGTTTGAGGGACTGTGAACCGGCCCTCTGCTTTAAAAGTTGCATGACACTCAGACAAAATCCCTGGACTCACCCTGTATGGCCCACTAGATGTACCCATAACTCACAACAGCTTCTGGTAGATATTGCAGGGTTTTGATAGAGTTGGGTTTTTTTGTTTTGCTTTAAATTGCTTTAAATTGATTTTCATTACTTTTGACAAATTAGGGGATACTCTGTAGTTTGATGGAAACCGTGGAGTATCAGGTGTCTTTAGGACAGTCTGAGCAGTGTGATCATGTCCAATTCAGACCAATTCACTGCCTGGACTTGACACACACTGTGCACTGATTAGCACTGGGAAAGGGGAAAGAATGTGCTCAAGTTGCTGCCACCACTTGTCATGGCTAGTCAAGGAGCTCCATCATGGGTGCCTCTACTGAATGAGATGTTCTAATAATAATAAAAGCCGTTATCAAGACCTCAAAATCGAACTGCAAAGGCTCTGTACAGGTGGTCCCACTGGTCATCGGCACACTGGGTGCTATGCCAAAAGATCTCAGCCAGCATTTCGAAACAATAAACGTTTATAAAGTCACGATGGGTCAACTGCAAAAGACCACCTTACTTGGATCTGCGTGCATCATATGAAAATACATCACACAGTCTTAGACATTTGGGAAGTGTTCATCTTGTGATTTTGTGATACGAAATCCAGCATATAGATCTCATTTGCTGTTACATACTGTGTTTTTGTGTCAGAATAATAATAATAATAATAATAATAATAATAATAATAATAGAAAATGAACACGTCAAACTACTCTGGGACTTCCAAATTCAGACTGACAGATTTTTTGAGCACAATAGTCCTGACGTCACAATCCTGTTAAAAAACCAAGTATGGATTGTCAATGTTGCAATCCCAGGCAACAGCAGGATTGAAGAGAAATAACTGGAAAAGCTGACATGATATGAGGATTAAAATATAAACTTCAAAGACTTCACAAGCCAGTAAAGGTGGTTCCAGTGGTGATCAGCACACTGGGTGCAGTGCCTAAAAACCTTGGCCTGCACTTAAACACAATCGGAACTGACAGAGTTACCATCTGTCAGCTGCTAAAAGGCCACCCTACTGGGATCTGCATACATTACTCACCAGTACGTCACACAGTCCTAGATACCTGGGAAGTGTTTGACGTGTGATCCAGTACAACAGCCAGCATAGTGACCTTGTTTGCTGTGTACTAATCTTGTTGTGTTTCAAATTATTATTATTATTATTATTATTATTATTATTATTATTTCTTACCTGCCTCTCCCCATGGCTTGAGGTGGGTCACAGCACAATCAAAAACACAAAATACTATAAAAATTGCACAAATACACATATTAAAATTCAGTTCCATAAAAGGTACATATCAAAGCATTTCTGTAAAATACACTTTAATTACATGACCAGCAAGGAGGAGCTAGGATCACCCTCTTTTTTGCTGGCCACATGGACCCCTATTCTGACATCAACAGAGGTGCCCGCAGCACCCAGGACCTTAGCAGCACAGCAAAGGTGAGATAAAGGTCACTCCAGCAGAGTGGATGTGCTCCTGGGCCGTCTAAAGAATGGTTCCAGATTCTACAGAAGCATGCAGAATCTGGGGCTGCCCTAGGGCATATTTACACAAGGCTAAACTGCCCCTATTCCCCCAGAATCTTAGTCCAAGACCCAACTACTACACCACACAGGGCTCACTACCAGCTGGCATTTTGCAGTTGCTTCTTGCAAAGTCTCTACTTATCTACAAGACAATTGAGACTATAAGAAGAGCAAATTATTCCAATCACTAATTCAAAATTCTACTTCCCACAGTAGCCACAGAAGCCAGATAATGAAAGAAAAATCCACATGTAATACTCAGATTTCCATGGAAGTCTTCCACTTATTAAATATGTTAAAAAATAAGGTGAGATAACCTTTGCAAGGAGACCCTGGTGGTGCAGTGGGTTAAACCACTGAGCTGCTAAGCTTGTTGACCAAAAGGTCACATGTTCGAATCTGGGGAGCGGCATGAGCTTCTGCTGTCAGCCCCAGCTTCTGCCAATCTAGCAGTTCAAAAACATGCAAATGTGAGTAGGTCAATAGGTACCGTTCCAGCGGGAAGGTAACGGTGCTCCATGCTGTCATGCCGGCCACATGACCTTGGAGGTGTCTACGGACAACGCCGGCTCTTCATCTTAGAAATGGAGATGAACACCACACCCCAGAGTCGGACACAACTGGACAATGTCAGAGGGAAACCCTTACCTTAACCCTTGCAAGTAGCTAGAAGCTAGCTGTAGTTCAATGTTGAACTGCAGTTTCCAAACAGAGCAAAATAACAAATTCAGCTTTTCAGGTTCAAATAATTATCATGTAAAGCTTTTTTTTTTTTTTCAAATTCCTCTTAATATACTTTTTGGAATTTCTTTGGAATATATTTAAGTAGCCGAAGAAAATCTAGTAACATTATCTGAAGTAAAAGCAGAAAAATGGTGGAACTAACATTACTGATGAATGCCAGTTCCCATTAATTCCAGCCAGCATGAACAATTATAAGGGCTGATGGTAGAGATGCCTTGCAAAATCTGAAGATCTGTGGATGGAAGATATGTTCCACATCAGTAACTGATATGGAGACTCTGACATATGAGAGAAGACTTATGTCAGTTGAATTTTTTTCTGGGGTTTTTCTGGGGTTACATTTCTTAATAAGACCCAAGCTCTCTCTGGGGGCAAATCTACATGGTAGGATTAATGCAGTTTGGCACCACTTTAACTGCCATGGCTTAATGCCATGAAATAGTGAGAGTTGCCATTTTACAATATCATAAGCCTTCACTGCAAAATATTATTGATGCTTCACTAAACTAGGGGCCCTTCCACACAGCCCTGTATCCCAGAATATCTAGACAGAAAATTCCACAATATCTGCTTTGAACTGGATTATCTGAGTCCAAACTCAGATATTGTGGGAATTTCTGCCTTGATATTCTGGGATACAGGGCTCTGTGGAAGGGCCCTATGACTCTCAGAATTCCATAGTGTTGGGCCATGGCTGTTTTAAAGTGATTTCAAATTGCATTAATTCTACAGTGTAAATACACGTCTGGCAAATCTGAATTGTGTCTAAGGAGCAGAATGTTCTCTTGTGTATGCCTAGACCATACTATTTCTGTGGATGGAAACTGTATTCAAAATGGAAGGAAACAGTATTGAAGATGTGCAAAATAGTCACCCCATTTTGGAAATCTTTCCAGTTCATCAAGGACTTCCAACTCATTTATAATAAGGAACATAATGACTAACCATTGTACTTGATTCCTTGGAGTGATAGGCCAACTCTCCGAGGCCCCTTCCACACAGCTCAATAAAATCCCACATTATCTGCTTGGAACTGGGATATATGGCAGTGTGGACTCAGATAACCCAGTTCAAAGCAGATATTGTAGGATTTTCTGCCTTGATATTCTGGGATATAGGGCTGTGTGGAAGGGCCCTCAATCTAACCAGAATCACCCCAGGAGAACCAAATGCATCTGCTGATGTCCAATGAATGTAGAGGCCTCAAGCTGGATTTGTTAATTCTGCATCCGGTTCCTGATTTGTGGTCTCTGTTTCCAGCTCATATCTTTAGATGCCATTTGGAACAAACATACAGGCTTCTGAGCTTGCTGTGAGCTTTCCAGTATGGAACAGGCCTCCCTTTTGCATTCTTGGGGCTTATCCCTCTTTTCCAAAGGGAATGATAGGGTCAATTACACATCTTAAAAGCCTTTTAAATATGTGCCCCTTTATCATAATAATTTGTCCAGAACAGAAACTGACCTTACCAAAATTTGGATTGTCAACCAAATAATTGTTTGATGGTCAAATGTTGTTTTTTTAAAAAATTAGACCCCAGAATCATAAATTAGGAGACGTGGCTCTATTGGAACATACAGTGAGCCTGCATTGCCTTTTCCATTTGTCCTGTAGTAACCTTTTTGTGAATTGCCTTGTAATGTTGCCCCACCACATCTTGGACTTCAGGATGTAATCCCCCAATTATCTTAAAAGAGAAGCCTTTGCCTTTGTTTGTGTTTGTGTGTCTCATTGTATATGATTGTCAAGGCACTGAATGTTTGCCTATGTATGTAAATTCTGTAATCTGCTCTGAGTCCACTAGGGGAGAAGGGTGGAATATAAATAAAGTGTATTATTATTATTATTATTATTATTATTATTCCCAGGAAAACTCAGGGGACACACAATGGGTTTATGTAATTTTTGGACATTTTTCTGTTTATCCTGATATGATTGGATTTATTCCTGGGAACACTTCTTTGTCTGAGTTGTCAAATCAGACCCATCCTTGGGGATCCCATTGAAATGGCCAACATCCTAAAGCACCCTTTTGTTTATCTGGACTGGCACCGTTATACGTATTAACTGGAGCTGAGGTATCCATACACATTTCAGCACATTATCAGTTGCCTCACCACATTGCTTTCTGACTGTGTCCCTCTCATGAGCAGATCAATAAATGGACACTCTTTTGTAAATAATCGAGTGACAGTTTATTCAAGTTTCCAACCATGGTGGAGACTAACCAGCAATGACACTGGATAAAGCCCTGGACCAAAAATGGGAGTGGGTCCTAGCCAGACACTTCCTTGACCAATCAGGAGCTAGTGTGGTATTCTCGAATAGTTGTCAAAATGCAATAAATATACCTATGTATTTGCAATTGCAGTATGCCAGTTTTTTGGAGTGTGGTCTATGCTGACATCCTCATTGGTCATTGGGAATAAAACCTCTAGTTTTGTCTTCAATCCGTCTTTGTCACATCTGGCCTTTGGGAAACTTGACACACCAGGCTTCGAACCCAGAGTTCTTGTGGAAGCTGAAATCACATAACAATCACTGGGTAAACTAGTTTTAAATCAAACAGATATATAATCCAAATAGGCAAAATCCCAAATGGTATCTGATTTTTTTGCACTTTCACACAGAATTACTGATTCTGACTCTGACAAGCTGGAATGTGTCCAGAGGAGGGCGACTAAAATGATCAAGGGTCTGGAGAACAAGCCCTATGAGGAGCGGCTTAAGGAGCTGGGCATGTTTAGCCTGAAAGAGAAGGCTGAGAGGAGATATGATAGCCATGTATAAATATGTGAGAGGAAGCCACAGGGAGGAGGGAGCAAGCTTGTTTTCTGCTTCCCTGGAGACTAGGACGCTGAACAATGGCTTCAAACTACAAGAAAGGAGATTCCATCTGAACATGAGGAAGAACTTCCTGACTGTGAGAGCCGTTCAGCAGTGGAACTCTCTGCCCCGGAGTGTGGTGGAGGCTCCTTCTTTGGAAGCTTTTAAACAGAGCCTGGGGCCATCTGTCAGGGGTGCTTTGAATGCAATATTCCTGCTTCTTGGCAGGGGGTTGGACTGGATGGCCCATGAGCTCTCTTCCAACTCTTTGATTCTATGATTCTATTATTTTTAATTTTACTTGTAAGAAAAAAAAACATGTTTCTAACTATGTTTATGGAAAATGCTTAGAAACATTGAAGGCTATGTTCCGGCTTGGAAAAGTTACCATTTATCTATAATACCAGCATCTGGACCGAGAGTGATGATCCCAAGGTCATCTATCTTGACATCAGTGCATGGATTTGATCCCAGATCGCCTTCTAAGGACAGCACCACATCTGCTTCCAAGATGAGCACCAGAAACATAGAAAGCAGAGGGAAATGTTTTGCCACTTTTAAAACAGAGTGCTATAAATAATCTGTAGAAGATTTCACTTTTTTTCTGGCTCTTCTGCCCCCCACATCATGCCACCCACACACTTTCTGAGCTTTTCTGATGTTCCTGAATCAATCTGTCTTCTCATATGTTTTACCATAATGCTGAACCAAAAATAACTACCCAAACAAGAATGTCTTCCCAATGTGCTTGGCTTTGGCTCAGAATTACACTATCCCTCCCCAATGACTCTGGCTTTAGACAGCCACTCCAGGTTCATTTTTCTTTTGTTTTGTCAGGTTCTCGGAGCAATCTTAGGCATATCTAGATTGATTCAGGACATATCTAGATTAAACAGAAGCAAGTGGGACATATGAAAGCTGCTTAACAGAGCAATACTGTGCATATTTGCTGAGAAGGAAGTCTCATTTGCATCTAATGAAGTTTATTCCTTGGGTCTGAATCCTGTTCTTACTCTCATCTAGATTAGACCCAATCAATCAACAAAGTTTATTTAAATGTTACCTCACAATAAGTGATTTTATAGGGTTTAGTTAGGACTACTGAGAGTTTAAGGCCTTGCAGAAGTTCAAATTAAGGCTATCATATTTTGGACATATCATTGGATGACGTGACTCCATGAAAAAAACAATAATATTAGGAAATATTGAAGGCAGCAGAACTAAAAAAAAAAGGGGGAGGTCAACATGATGGATGATTTCATTAAGTAAAGGAAGCCAGAGCCCTGAATGTGCAAAACCTGGACTTTCGAGGAGAAGGGCTCATTGATGTATCACATTCATAAATTCAACAGAAATCAAAATTAATTTGATGACAAATAACAACAACAAAACAATCTAATGCAACCTGTATATCACAGTCTGTATATGATCTAATTAAGGTAGATGTATCTCCTCTAAAGTTGTGTTCACTTACAAAAAGAGATATGGGCCCATCTGAATGTTAAAAAAAATCTTCAAAAAGGCATTTCCAAAGAGATAAAATGCAGTTAACCAGGAGTAGCCCAATATGTTTTGCTTCCTGAGAGAAATAAACTGCCCCCAGTTCCATATATTGAAATAAGTTCTGTATCTAATAGAACCAACTTAGCAGTTTGAAAACATGCAAATGTGAGTAAATCAATAGGTACAGCTTCTGTGAGAAGATAACTGCACTCCATGCAGTCATACTGGCCACATGACCTTGGAGGTGTCTGTGGACGACGTAGGCTCCTTGGCTTAGAGTTGGACACTAAACTAGACTTAATGTCAGGGGAAACCTTTGCCTTTACTTTTACCTCATAGAAGGGCAGCAACTCGATTTAGGGATGTAGGGTGACCCATTTATCATAAACATGTTTACCAAGGTGCCAGAAAGGTGTCTCGTTCTGCCTAATAGGAGATCTGGAAAGAGAGTTTTTGTGGGAAAGAAAATGCAGGGAGAGTCAAAGCAGCACAAAGGGTGTTCCCAGATAAAGATCGGCAAAGGGGCATGTGGTCTTTATCCAGATTAAGTTACACAAGAGAAAACTCACCCTTTTTGCCCCTGGTTGCAATCCAGTGCATATAACTACTTCTGAATCCAATTAAATACCCACATTCTTCTCCAAGTAGATAAGATATTCAAGCTGCATTTCTCAGGCAATGTACTCTGGGGCATTTCCCTCAATGGTCTTTGCTTTCTGCTTTGTTCAGGGGACAGTCTTTCTGGTCTTCAACTATTAAACTGAGCTAAATATTGTTGCTTTGCCTCCATTGGAGGCTTGCGAAATGCTGGGACATAGCAGATAAATACAGAGAGACATTTTGCTTTGGTAGATGCAGTTCTCTAAAACCTCAATAACAAGTAGAAAGCCCATGTTAATAGTTTCTGCTGAGGTTTGAATTAAAAAACTACATTAGGCCTATCCAATTATCCGCAACAGGGGTGGGAATGCTTTAAAGGGGTGCAGTGCATCAGTTTCGACTACTAATAATGCCCACCAAGGCTCCCAATGCCACTTCCATTCTCATCTAAAACCTCCCATGTATTTCACCTGGACACAAAGACCCCAAAACAGATTCCAAATGTCTTATAAAATGCTTTAGTCATTTTAGTCCCCACCCATTGAGGGGGGGGGGGACCCTAAAGACCACTGAGATTGGCATGATGTCTCTTCTGGTAAATGCAAAATTGTGCATTGCCTTGAGGGCCCAATGTGTTGAGAGGTGATAAATATATTACGTAAATAAATAAAATAGCAGCTGCAGCCATAGTGCAGTCTACCAGAACTCTAGAGGATGCTGAAATGGGGCACCGTGACCCTCAGGGCTCCAGAACATCCTCACCTGAGACTATCTATACACAAAGGCGGAGATGGACCAAATTCAGCCCTACAGAGGTTTTTAGACTGCACTGAATGCTACTCACCCTGTTTTAGGGCCTTGCAGATGTTTGGTGACTTAGTGTTCAAATAGCCCTTGACAGGCATAAACCCAGGCAGGGGCTGGTGCCATAAAAGGCTGGTGAAACCTTCTTTGGCTTGATGGGTCATTTATTGTATTGGCAGGACAGTTCCTGGTGGCTTCCAACAGGGCAGGCCCTACTATAATGCAGAGCAAAGCCACTGTTTCCAGTGAAAGAGCTGCAAATAGTGAAGCCATTTACTTGATTACCTTTTCACAACCAAGAGAAAAGAGAGATTCTTCAAGGAGTTTCTGTTTCAGATGCCAAAACAGTTTGGCTGCTCTGTGTGTTCTGCCTCAGAGTCAGTTCTCTTAGGCTGGCCCTGGCTTTCCAGTTTTTGTAGCCAAGCAAGTCAATAAGAATGGAGTCTAAGACTTGGACCCAGGATTATGGGTACACCTACATTGCAGAAGTAAAGCAGTTTGATACCACTTGAACTGCCCTGCCCCAATGCTATGAGAGTTGTAGTTTTACAAGGGACTGTTGTTTGGTGCACTGGGCCATTACAGTTAAAGTGGTGTCAACCCACATTAATTTCTACAGTGTCATTGCTGAGCCAGTCCTATCTATACAAAGAATATGTTTAGAACAGGAGTGGTCAAACTCATTCTGATTTCATGTTAGAAAATGGGAGGGAGAATAGAGGACTCACCCGCTCTGAAACATGAGCACAGTTGTAGGCCTTAGAAGACAGAGAATGGGTCAAGAAACACTCTGTGTGCTCTGGAGCAAGAACTTACCTGGAGTCCCATATCTGTGAAGCTTCTGGCTTGAGAATGTGCTTACTCTGTTCGCCATGCTAGATCTGTTCCTTCTTTCTGCATTTCTTTCAAAATCGCATTGCTTTCCACTTTCCTCAGAAGAAATCTGATAGTATGACTAGTTTTCCAGTCGTTGGGAAACAGATTAAACTCATTGTGAATTGCTGTGAGTTTTCTGGGCTGCGTGGCCATGTTCCAGAAGCATTCTCTCCTGACATAGGGAAATAGGTTAAATTCACTGTGAGTTGCTGTAAGTTTTCTGGGCTGTATGACCATGTTCCAGAAGCATTCTCTCCTGATGTTTCGCCCACATCTATGGCAGGCATTATCCGAGGTTATGAGGTCTGTTGGAAACTAGAGAAGTTGGGGTTGATATATCTGTAGGATGTCCAGGATGGGAGAAAGAACTCTTGTCTGTTGGAGGCAAGTATGAATGCTGCAGTTGGCCACCTTGGTTAGCATTGAATGGCCTTGAAGCCTGCTCTGTTGGCTTCCAACAGAGCAGGCTCTACTATAATGCAGAGCAAAGCCACTGTTTCCAGTGAAAGAGCTGCAAATAGTGAAGCCATTTACTTGATTACCTTTTCACAACTAGGAGAAGAGAGAGATTCTTCAAGGAGTTTCTGTTTCAGATGCCAAAACAGTTTGGCTGCCTGCTATGCGTGTTCTGCCTCTGATCAAATTCATTTTGATAAGGTTATAGGGCTGAGAAGAGTAAAAATAAAGGTAAAGTTTTCCCCTGACATTAAATCTAATCGTGTCTGACTCTGGGGGGTGGTTCTCATCTCCATTTCTAGGGGCCCTTCCACACAGCCCTATATCCCAGAATATCAAGACTGAAAATCCCACAATATCTGCTTTGAACTGGGTTATCTCAGTCCACACTGCCATATATTCCAGTTCAAAGCAGATAATGTGGGATTTTCAGCCTTGATATTCTGGGATATAGGACTGTGTGGAAGGGCCCTAAGCTGAAGAGCCGGCGTTGTCCTTAGACGCCTCCAGGGTCATGTGGCTGGCATGACTGCATGAAGCACTGTTATTTTCCCACTGAAGTGGTACCTATTGATCTACTCACACTTGTTTTCAAACTGGTAAGTTGGCAGGAGCTGGGGCGAACAATGGGAGCTCACCCCGCTTCCCACATTCCAACTGCCAACCTTTTGGTCAGCAAGTTCAGAAGCTCAGAAGAGTAGAAAAGTGTCAAGTCAAGGCACCCCGTAGAAATTTTGTAGTATGGGAGGGGGTGGCCCTCCAGATAAGGTCCTCCCCAAAACCCATGTGAAATTGCCACCCACAAGTCTTGGACTGGTTAATGTTGTTGAAAAGGGAGATAGAAAGGAAGCCAATGCTTGTCCCCTTTTCTCCATGAGCTTTGAAACCATTTCCTCTGAGATCCTAAAGCAGGATTATATAAACATGCTGATAGTTATAAATGAAGGAACAGAGGAGGCGAAGACAGGTTCCTCTTGGGTTGGCCCTACCCTGTGTCATAATGGGAATGGATGCTCTGCTTCTGTGTCACCAGGATCTGGGAAGGTGTTGTGATTTTGAGTGATTCGGTGAAATCCAACTGGGGCAGGGAGCGGGGAGAAATCCTTGGGGCCTTGTGATGCCAGGCGAAAGGAGAGCAAAGCCAGAGCCAGAGCTGCCGGGTGGCCCCTGCCAGGCCTTGCAAACTCTGCCCGGAGGCGGCAAGATCCCGCAGATCCTGGTTGTTGTGGCTGAGGCAGGGCTGCCGCCGCCGCCGCCGCCGAGTTGTAAACTCATCCCAGACGAGGACGGTGAGGAAGGAGGGAGGGAGGGAGCGAAGGAGAGACACTGGGGAGTCAGAGGAACTTCTCTGGGCAACGTCCTCACGGCTCTTTTCCTCCCTCCACAGCCTCCTCCCCCCCCCCCCTTGCAGCGCTTCTGAAATGTTTTCCATTGCATTGCATTTCATGGGGAAGGAAGGGCTTCTGGGCAGGGGGAGGGAGACTCTCCCCCCGCGTTTGTGTGGCTGGGATTGCAACGCACACTCACACGGAGCGAGGACTGCACATCTGAGTTTCCTCTTCTGTTTTGGAAGGTGGGGGAGCTGGGATTTCCTCTCTCTCCCCTCCCCCCTTCCTTCCATGGCTGGAGCTTTCCGTTGCAAAGAGGGACGTTGCTTGGTCTTGATCCCTTTCTTGCTAGGGCTGACTCTGGGCCCTTCCACACAGGCAGGCATGTAGCCAGGAGGGGGGACTTTGGGGGCTTCAGCCCCCCCCCCGCAAATTCTCATGGTGATCTGCGAAAAGGCCTTATTGGTGCATTATTTAAACTGTTATGTTTATTCATATCATGATCTGATCACCATACTCAATATATCCCATATGCATGGGGGTATTGGGGTAACGATACAAAGGTTTGCTAGGGTAGACCCTCTTTCACTCAGACTCAGCCCCCCCCCCCCCCCCCCGAATCAAAATCCTGGCTACGGGCCTGCACACAGGCCTATACCCCAGAAGACCTAGGCAGAAAATCCCACAATATCTGCTTTGAACTGGGTTATCTCAGGGCCCTGCCACACAGCCCTCTATCCCAGAATAGCAAGGCAGAAAATCCCACATTATATGAGTGTGGACTCAGCCCAGTCCAAAGCAAATATTGTGGGATTTTTCTGCCTAGATATCCTGGGATAAAGGGCTGGGTGGAGGGGCCAGTCTGCTTTGAAAGGGGCCCTTCCACACAGCCCTCTATTTCAGAATATCAAGGCAGAAAATCCAACAATATCTGAGTGCAGACTCAGATAGCCCAGTTCAAAGCAGATACAATATTGTGGGATTTTCTGTCTTGATATTCTGAGATATAGAGCTGTGTGGAAATGCCCAATATCTGCTTTGAAGTGTGGCCCTTCCACACAGCCCTGTATCCCAGAATATCAAGGCAGAAAATCCCACAGTATCTGCTTTGAACTGGGTTATCTGAGTCCACACTCAGATAATGTGGGATTTTCTGCCTTCATATTCTGGAATATAGGGTTGTGTGGAAGGGGCCTTTCTCTCTCTCTCTCTCTCTCTCACACACACACACATACACACAATCCCCCACCCCACCCCATTTGAAGACGCATCCAGCGCCTATCTGGCAACACACAGTGGAATGTAGTCGCGTGGAAATGCGAGTCTCAAACTTCCCGTGTTGGTTACGAAGGTTTCCTCCCGGGAACCCCTCCTCGAGGTCTCCCTCCCCAAAGGCAGGGAGGCGATGCAACTAGGCTCCCCAAAACCCCAGCCCAGGCCGGTAAGTCCCTAGGCTCCAAAAGAAGAGGGAATCCAAGGACAGAGAGAAAGAGAGAAGTGGGGAAATAGATTATTTTTATTCCTCCCCCTGCGATCTCGTCCTGAGACCTACCTGAGCTGCTCCGGGATCGCAAAAAGGGGGCCAGGAATCAATGCTTCGGGGCGGATTCGCCTCGGGAGGCTCAGCCCTACACACCCACCGCAGCCAAAGACCAGAGAGAGAGAGAGAGAGAGAGAGAGAAACCCTTTCCTCGCCCTCCCCACCCCGCCTTCTCTCTCTCTCTCTTGGAAAGGAAGGGGAGGGGGGCTAAGCAGCGGCGGCCACAGCCATGGCTCGGCGTCGGCGGCAGAAGAAGTGGGGAAAAGAGATTAGATTTCGCTTCTCTCTCATCAATTTTCTGTTTAATGTCACTGGTCTCCATTGTGGGAGAGGGAGGCACGTCATCCGGCCATAAATTTGAGATTATAGAGCCTCCAGCTCCGTCCGGGTGCCCTAATTGAATGGATTTACTCCGCGCGGGCAGGTCGGGGAGAGAAGAGGGGCCACGGAGACCGAGCCAAGGCCGGGCCCACGCCGGCGCCGCCGAATAGCAAGGAGAAGAAGGAGAAGGAGAAGAAGCAGGAGGAGGAGGAGGAGGAAGAAGGGCGGAAGAGTTGGGGGTCTCTCTGGCACACGCGCGCACACACACACACACCAAATCCTCCCGTTTCCGCCTGGTAGGGAGAGAAAGGGAACTCCAACGAAAGGAAGGAGAGCGAGCACGTCTGTATTAAAGGGGGGATTGCAAAAGAGAGAAACCTCCCACCTGTCTTCTGAGAGAAGCCTTTTCCCAACCCTGGACTGGAGCCTCTCGGCTGCCCCACATTTTCCGCAGCGAAGTGGATATTTCCCCCCACAACCTCCCCCTCCTTTTCGGCGTTTTGTTTCTGCGGTTTGTTAAACAGAACTTTGACCCAGGAAAGCGGCGATCTGTAAGTAATTGTTTTGTCTCGATTTGCTCTCATTGTTTGTCTTTGTGGAGCCTCTCTCGCTCTCTCTCTTTCTCTCTCCCTCGCCTTCGCCTCTCCTTCGGCGCGTCCTCCTCCTCCTCCTCCTCCTCCTCCTTCCCCTGAATGGCCGCCTTCGGGGAGATTTCCTTCCAAGGCCAACCAAATGGATCCACACTGCCCAATAATCCAACTCCAACTGTATTCTGTGGGCGGTGGAGACCGGGGAGCCTTCCACACAGCCCTAGATCCCAGCATATCCAGGCAGCAAATCCCACAATATCTGCTTTGAACAGGGTTATCGGAGTCCACACTCAGATATTGTGGGATTTTCTGCTTTGATATTCTGGGATACAGGGCTGTGTGGAAGGGCCCCGGGTCTACACACTCCTTTGTTGGGCCTTCCTTCCCCTAACCCACGTTACACCCTTCCCTTCCAGACCCACTTCGACTTTTCCCACATTCCCTGTAATTTTAAAACAAGCAGATTATTCTCCTGAAAAACAACCAACCGAAACCCTCTTCTCCAGATTTATTTTCGAAGGGGAGCAAAAGCCCACAACAACTTTCCCTCCAAAACACGACTCCTTCCAGGTTCGAGACTCCCCAGAAACTTTTCCTCGAGGCCAGTGAATCAAGAATCTCTTCTCCCTCTTCAGTTAAAGCCCCATGTTTGGAAAAGCTCAAAAGGTCTCCTGTACCCGGACCCAGAGACCTTGAAAAGAAAAAGAGCCGAGGCCCCACCGATCCTTCTTTGAGAAAGCCCAGCCGGTGCCCCGCTGAGAGATCCTCTGGTCTGTTGCTCAATGTCTTTGGGACTTGGCTGCTGCCTGGAGGGCCTCCCAACGTTTTCCAAGAGGCCTTGGAGCTTAGGAAATCATTCACCAGTCGCCCGCCTTTGAAAAACAAGCCAAAATAAGGCCCATCAGAGCAGATCTAGGGGCTCTTCCACACAGCCCTCGATCCCAGAATGTCAAGGCAGAAAACCCCACAATATCTGCTTTGAACTGGGTTATTGGGCTCCACGCTCAGATAATGTGGGCTTTTCTGCCTTGATTTTCTGGGTTGTATGGCTGTGTGGAAGGACGTTATAACAAGGTACATTTTAGAGAGATGGGTTTTGTAGTGAGTCTTTTTTTACCTCTTCCTTAAAATATATTATTTTGTCTTTTCCGGTGAAAGACTTGGTTCCAACGTTTGCTCTGGTGCTTTGGATCATACTCTTTCACCTTCTCGGGAAAGAAAGAAATCCCAATATAGTCGTTGGGTTTTATTCCCGGGTGAGTGGATTTGGAGAGGCAGCCTCGAAAAAGAGGCTCAAAACCAGGAAAGGATAAGAAAGGAGGAAGGAAAAGATTGAGAGAAAGAAAGAAAGAAGGAAAGAAGGAAGGAAGGAAAGAAAGAAAAGGAGAGGCAGTATGAAAGGAGGCTTTTCCTCCGTTTTGGGAAGGGTTGTGTGGAAAAGTTGCCTCTGAATCTCGCCTTCGCCCAACGCTTTTTGAAAAATAAAGAACCCAGTGTTAAATTTACTTTGAAATAGCCTTTAAAAAAACTTTCTCCTCGATTGCTGCATTCCTAGGTGGTTATTCTTCCTGTTGTTCTTTTTCCAGGCCTGTTTTCAAGGCCGAGTCCTTTCCTCCTCGGGAAATCCCACTGCTTTGTTTGGGCCTCGCTTGGTTTCCCTCTGGAAGGCAGAAGAGCCCCCAACAATGAGGCAGAGCCCCTTCTCCCCAGAAGGAACTTCCTTCGGGTTGAGGAACGCTGTGGGCCAGGCTCACGTTACAAGACGAATGTATTTCCAGTGGGGGCCCGGCTCCTGAGGAAAGGGCCCTTGCCTGGCTCTGCCAAAACCAGTGGAGGAGGGAAAGGGGCTGTGGGGAAGCCCCTCAGGGCGCGCGCGGGTAAACAAGCAAGGCTTGAGACATATTTCGCAGAGAATAGATAGATAGATATGGGTGTGTGTTTGTATATCTATCTATATATATGCAGTATCCAATTCCCTCTGGTTTATTTCCCCTTCCTTCCTTCCTTCCTTCCTTCCTTCCTTCCTTCCTTCCTTCCTTCCTTCCTTCCTTCCTTCCTTCCTTCCTTCCTTCCTTCCTTCCTTCCTTCCTTCCTTCCTTCCTCCTTCTTTCAAATCAAATTACCCCAGAACCGGCCGCGGGAGCCTCTATCGATAGCTTGGCAAATTCGGCGCAGAAAGTATATTCCTGCTCGGGAAGGAGATAGATTTGTCCAACGATTTTTAATTAAAGGGATTGACTTTCCTGTTAACAAAAGAGGGAACGAAGGGCCCGGCTGGCCAGGAGGGAGCGGCCAGGAGAGAGACGAGGAGGAGGAGGAGGAGGAGGCCCTTCCGCCCTCCGGATCCCGGCGCCCCTTTTGTCTGGCTCCGCTGGGGATCTGCACAGGGGCATTGCTACCCCTTGGACAACCCCCTCGCCTTTCCTCGCCTCGTGTTTAGCTCAGAAATGGTGGAGAGGGCTGTGTTGATATTACTATTATTATTATTATTCGTGGCCTTCTCCTTTCCCCTCTTCACAATGCAATCCAGCGAGCAAAGAGGAGCGAGCGGGGCTTGGTTTCCAAGGCGCCTCCGAAGAGGCAAGCCAGGCCACGCTTTCCGCGACGAGGCTGGGCCCGGGATCAGGAGGAGAGGAAGGGAAGGGAAAGGAAGCAGGGAAAGGAAGGAAGGAATACAAGAGAAGGGAAAGGAAGGAAAGATAAAGGAAAGAAGGAAGACGTGAGGGAAGGAAGGGAAGAGAAGGAAAGGAGGGGAAGGAAGGAAGAGGAGGAAAGGAAGGAAGGAAAGGAAAAGAGGAAAGGAAGGAAAGGGAAAGCGGGAAGATGGCGCCTCCCCTCCGCCATCCGAGCCAAGGGGAGAGGGCTTCTCTGACTCCAAACGTGGGCTTCTTTTTCTCAGCCTGGGCAGGGAAGCCCTGGGTTCCTTCGGAGGCCGGAGAGAAAGGGAAAGCTTCCTCCCGGGTCCCGCCAAACCCTCGTTTCTTCCCCACTCCATGCCCTGGGCAGCCAAGGCAGAGCCCGAGCGAGGGTTTGTTGTGGGCCGAGAGGCAAAGGAAGAAGCCGGAGCGGAGGCACAAAAGGTCCACAGCCCGGCTTCGGCTTCCGCCTCTTTTCAGGGAGGAATCGGGCGCGAAAGGAAGGACAGGCTTGATTTCTTCTGGCTGCCCCTTTGTTTTTCCTACGACTTTCTTTCATTCTGATTCCCTTTGAACCCGCGTTGATCCTCCTCCGAGGCCGGAAGGGAGAGCTTGAAGGGAAGGAGGGCGGCTCTTGTGAGAGCCTTTTCCCCCTGAAAGGTTTTCTTTCTCACGGAACGCCTTCGCTCTGAAAGAAAAGAAACGTGCGCTACACATGCACACGTATACATTGCAAGTGCGTGTATGTTTGTGCGCGTATATATATACACACAGAGAGAGACGTCTATTCATGTTTCAGTATATATAAAACGACCGGGATGAAATGTGTGCCTGGTGCCATTTTCCCAATTACAATACTGATATGTGAGTGTGTGTGAGAGAGGGAGAGAGGCCCCGTCTACACTGCCATGTAATGCAGTTTCAGAAAGCAGACTGACTGCATTATGTGGCAGCGTAGATTTGTGGAATGCAGCCCAGTTCGGTGTAGATCTATAGTCTCTATGGCAGTGTCGCTAAGGCCAGAGAGAGGAGATTTTGCCCGTGGAAGGGTTTTGGAAAGAGGGTGAAAGGAGCACTCCTTTTGCATATGGGGAAAAAAAGAAATCGAGCCTTTCCGATTGGAATCCATGGATCTTTCACAGAAATTCTGCAAATAGTGCGTGGGGCTGTGTGCATGCCTTGGCCTCTCTCTCACAGACACACCGTGGGCACAGGCTGTGCTCGTCTTTCACCAGCAATGTGGAGCAAACTCTCGCCGGTGTTTTTATTCTAGAGCCGTGGAGTTAAGAGTGTGAAAAGTTGCAGAGAAGGGGAGGGAATCGGGAGGGGAAAATATCATGCATTTTCAGAATGCAGATGAATTGCCTTGAACTGCATTATATGGGTCCACACTGCCATATTAAGCTGCATTCTGAATTACATGACAGTGTACATGGGGCCACACACACACACAACCCTCACATCTTCTGCCTCTCTGCACACTGTTTCTCATTCTCTCTCAGGCACAATCAGTCCTTCAGTCTCTCTCTCTCTCTCTCTCTCTCGCACATACAATCATCATCATCTTTTGTCTCTCACAGAACTACAA